ATGAAACCACCAGCTATTTTCAGAGACTGGTCCCCTTCGTCCTTGAGTGGCTCTGGGTCCGGCTGGTCCCTTTCAGGGCAGCGCCGAGTCACTGCTTCCTTCCTCACCCGGCCCGTGTTTACCTGGCTGTCGGCGCGGGGCCCCTCCAGATGACTCAAGGCTCCAGACCTTGTTTTTCTCATGCTTCCAACGCCCCAGCCCCCAAACAAAAAACATGTAGAGTCCTTGTCCCCAGAGCTGCAAGACCTGGTCAGTCTGTTTGCCCTGTTGTGTCCTAGACCCGTATTTGCTTTACTTTTATTCTTCCAGTTAAAGGGCACTTTGTACTTTGTAAATACAGACGCCAGATGGTTTTCAAAGGTTGAAGTGACAGGAAGCGAGGCCCCCTGGAAGGAGTCCAGTGTCGTTTCCACCTGCCACCGTGCAGGGGCGCACGCACTTCAGCAGTGACAAACACAACACCCCAGTCGCTCTCTGGGAGTCTAGTCCCCAGTCTGGACCTTCTGTTTGGACAGTTCTATTTTCAACACTGCAGTGTATTTATTTCAGGTCCTCGGGGCCTCCGTTCAGAGGTGTTTAGCAGCAAAAACTTGCCTAACGGGGTGCTGTGCCCTTGGGTGGGGGTGGAGACCCATCCTCTGCCACACGTCTCGCAGGCTCACAGTGTCCTGATCTCATGCCATCAAAGCGTGGTGACTGTTTTCTTTGGATTCAGAGAGTCAAGTAGAATTAAGCCACGTTTTAGGGGCTAACGCTGGCTAACTCCCCACCTCCTTCGGGCCTCGGCTCAGCTGCCCACTCGGGCCACGCCGGGCACCAGCTCCTCAGTATTTCAACCCCCTCCGCCCCCTCGCCGCCCCCGTCCCCACCTGGCTCGGCTTCTGTGCTGTTTGCTGAGCGCTGGTCACCCTCCGCCGTTTTCTCAGATTGAGTGTCTGCTCTCCACCAAGGCAGAAACTGTTATTTTGTTCACTGATTTACACCAACTGGTCATAACAGAGCCTGGCCTAGAGTTGATGCTTGAAAATATCGGGAAAGAATTACAGCTTCTGATATGACTGAAGTTTTCAGTTCCAGGACTAAGGAACTAAGAACTAAATTATCCATGAAAGCACAAGTTACAGAAGGGCCACTCCAGGAACTTTGGGAAACCTCAGAGCTTACTAGAGAGAGGTCTGCAGACAGGACCTAAGACTGGACTCCTAGCTCTGTCGCTGAACTAGCTCTGCGACATGGGCCAGTTTACTTTCTGTGTAAAGGAAATTCTGAGCTTCCAGTCAGATATGATAATGACATCATAGGCTGTGCATATTGAATAAATCCTTTGCAAACTATTAAACAGCATGATTGCCTGTTGGGCATAAGTTTTGTTTAAAACTAAAATGGCAGTGATCTGGGGTGGCTGGCAGGAATAATCTAGGGTTTCATCTTTTTATTCATCAGTAATGTTGGGCAGTATTTCATTTTTTTTATTCATCGGTAATACTGGCAGGGCAAATGAATATTGGCAAATGCAGGATACGCCATGAGTCGGGAAATGAGTCAGGCATATGTTGAGCTGCGCGTCTCTAAAGCCAGTTCTCAGACTTGATGGGAAATACAGCCAAGAGTGGGGGGGCTCTCTCCCTTCTGGATAAGCTGTTCTCGAGGACTGTCTTTTCTGGATGGCGGTGGCTGCTATTTATCTTCCAAGATGATCCTTTTCCATCAGCAGCAGGTAAAACCCAGACGCAGGACTGAGTAGCTGGAACATTTTTCAGTCTTACCAGGCTAGAATCAACATGAATCTTTTTAAAAATCCTTTTTTTTTTTGCTAAACAATTATAAAATGTCCAGACATAGATTCATCGTGCTGCACACACATTAACAAATCTAATTCCCACCCATTATTGCTTATACCACCCAAGCAGAAATGAACTGACTAAAGCACTGTGTTCAGGGGAGGATGCCCTTGGCCCTGGTGTCCTGCATCCCAGGAGCACCTTCCCCTCCTGCGTGCCCAGTTTGGGTGCATCACTTCCACTCAATCCATCAAACCACGGAGACAATACAGACAACATACGTTCACCTTTTACAGACCTTCCCAACTCCATTGCTTTATTTAATCCTTACGACAAAATCATGGAGCCATTATCCAACATTTGCAGATGAGGAAACACTGCCAAAGGGTTTGTGTCCAATGGATCCGCATTAGGCAAGCTTGGTCACCCTTCTCTGTTTTCTTATCCATAAATTAGAAGTCTTGCCAACTCCAGCTGTGGGTGTTGAGCAACTGAGATAAAGCTTCAAGCATAGCTGTGACTCTGTATCCTGGATAAGTGTTCCCTTTCTAATTTTTAATGAGGAAATATGCTCAGATTGGGAGTTCAGGACTTGCAGATACTAACTACTGTATATAAAATAAACAACACAATCCCACTGTATAGCACAGGGAACAATATTCAATACTTTATAATAGCCTATAATAAAAAAGATGATGAAAATGAATATACATATATGTATAACTAAATCATTATACTGTACACCAGAAACTAACACAGCATTGAGCACTGACAAGACTTCAATTAAAAAAAAAAAAGCTACCAAGGAGGATGGGGTTGTGTGAGGAAACCAATGATGCTCAAATTTAAGAGTGCATCCAAATTTGGAGGGCCGGTTAAAAGACTTTCAGGGGCCCCACCCCTAAGAGTTTCTA